GTGTGTGTGTGTGTGTGTGTGTTGGGGTGGGGGGTGGGGGGTGGGATGGTGTCAAAAAAGGTTTTTTTAGTTTCAACAGATAAATGTTGGTGTATGATCCATTGGATCAGAGTGAGGAGGTGAAAGCCCTGACTGGACCAGATCTGGACCTGCTGATTGCTTCAATTAGTGCAAACCAGTGACGTCACAGGAGCGAAAAGGAGCAGTCAGGAGGAGAGAGCTGCTGACAGCACAGTCGCCTCCTCCTAAACACCTGACTGTCAGCTGCTGATCACAGACATGTACATTAATTTTGATCTTAAATAAATTCATAATAAAGATAATACTAAATTATTTCATAAATATTACAGTTTCAATTCGATTTGATTTGCTTGTGGGGAAGCAGCTGGAAACGCCTCATTCTGATCCCAACCCCCAACACCCCTTCTCCACACATACACACGCACACACACGCGCGCACACTTATGTGAAGGTGAGACAAAAGAAGCGCGTCAAATCCCCCTATCTCCCCATCCCGTGTCTGCATCTGTTGCAGACCCTCAGCCCGAGCTCTGCCTTAAATCCTGACCCTTCAGTTCTTCAGAACCGAACCAGCTGCAGGACTTACTCCCGTGCTCCGGTCCGGGTACCCCCCCTGCGCCGCCGTCAGCCTGGTGGTGTTGAGCCCCACCAGGGAGGGGAGGGTCTGCGACATCCAGTTGGTGATCATCGCCATGGTGCTCAGAACCACCCCGATCTTCAGCAGCGGAACCGTCATCTCTCTGGGCTTGGTTCGCACGCGCGTTAATCCGTCTTCATTCTGCAGACTCCACGCAGGGAGCAGGGAGCAGACTCACGGTAGTACCAACATGATGAGGAGGTTCCGGCCGGGACTCCGGATCGGTTCGGCTGACTGTGGACATCTCCGAGGACTGACCGGCGGCGAACGAGCTAGACCCGACAGACAAGAAAAGACGGAACCACGACACAGAAGTCCTGATCCGGTGAAGAACTTCTCCTCTGAAGATCCTCTCTGCTCTGAGTCCCGGGCTCTGCTGGCTCTCCGGTTCTGTCTGATCCCGCCTCTCGGTCCGCCTCCTGCTCGGTGATGGAGTGAACACGCAGAAGCTTCAGAGAGTAGGGGAGGGAGGAGAGGAGGGAGGAGAGGAGGATCTCTTTGACGTCACACAGCACCGGCCAAGTCTACAGGCTGCAGCTGCCGAACAGACTCACACCTGAGACCTGCAGGTCCACAGATCCAACAGGTCCACGGATCCAACAGGTCCACAACAGCAGGTCTAACAGGTCCACAGCAACAGGTCTAACAGGTCTAATAGGTCTAATAGGTCCACTTCAAGGACCATAATCTTGTCTGTCAAAGTCTGAGCCTCCCCAGCATGCAGCAAGAAAATTGAACATCTGGATCCAAAAAAACAGCACAGCTGCAGACTGAGACTGCTGAGTCAAAACCAGAACCAGGTTCAAAAAGAGCCAGGTCAGACCTACATCAGTCAGTCAAACCCAGACCCATCTAAAGCAGACCCAGAACCAGACGCAGAGCACTCAAACCCAGAAAAGTCTGATTGCGTTCCAAATTAAAAAAAACCTGATAGTTGAGCTCCACGAATCATCATTCCTGGACCTCTGGCGCCACCTGGCAGCTGAATGTGGACTTACACAAATTAAAATATGAATCACAAAAAAAAAAGAGAATTAAAAACAAAGAAATCTCAAAAAGTAATTTAGGTTTAAAGCACTGCACGGTCATTGTGATTATAAAGGTAAAGCTGTTTTAAAGGCAATAATGTAATCATTGAGATCAGCTGTTTTAATGCTAGACACATGAGAGGCTTTAGGGCTGCAGTTTCTGAAGTTTGATCAGATTTCATCCAATTTCTCCTGCTCCTTTCCTCCAGTTGGAGCTTCTGACATGTTATGTGCGATCACACAGGTGACGTCATCAGTACGAGGTACTGACAGATGTTGCTCATCCTGAGATGACATGAAGATCAGCAGAGCAAAGAACTCAAGACATGTTTTTATTAACACCAAACTAATGCACTGCGCTGTGTATGAGCTTTAACATAAAGTGTTCAGCTCTATCAGGTGAAGAGATAAAAGGTCAGATAATCAATCAACAGCATGAAAGAACCAATCAGAATCAAGAATTAGTCCATGGGTAAATGAAGTGTGGAGGTTGTTGTAGATTATTATAATAACACTTTGTACAAGGGGCAGCACGGTGGCACAACTGGTAGAGCTGCTGCCTCTCAGCGAGCAGGTCTCTGGTTCAAACCCCAGTCCGGGGGCCTTTCTGGGTGGAGTTTGCATGTTCTCTCCGTGCATGCGTGGGGTTTTCTCCGGGTGCTCTGGTTTCCTCCCACAGACCAAAAACATGCATGTTAGGCTGATTGACAACTCTAAATTGTCCTTAGGTGTGAGTGAGAAAGTGAATGGTTGTTTGTCTGGTTTGTCTCTATGTGGCCCTGTGATGGACTTGCGACCCATCCAGGGTGTACCCCGCCCCTCGCACAGTGATTGCTGGACATAGGCACCGGCGACCCCCGTGACCAAGAATGGAATAAGCCGGTAAAGGTAATGGATGGATGGATGGATGTTTGTATGAGGTTTGTGTCATGTTTTATCATCTTTATCAAAACCTAAACTACCTCAGAATTACAAACCGGATTCCAAAAAAGTTGGGACACTAAACAAATTGTGAATAAAAACTGAATGCAATGATGTGGAGGTGCCAACATCTAATATTTTATTCAGAATAGAACACAAATCACAGATCAAAAGTTTAAACTGAGAGAATGTATCATTTTAAGGGAAAAATCTGTTGTTTCCAAATTTCATGGTGTCAACAAATCCCCAAAAAGTTGGGACAAGTCCATTTTTACCACTGTGTGGCATCCCTCCTTCTTCTTACAACACTCAACAGACGTCTGGGGACAGAGGAGACCAGATTCTCAAATTTAGAAATAGGAATGCTCTCCCATTCGTGTCTAATACAGGCCTCTAACTGTTCAATCGTCTTGGGCCTTCTTTGTCGCACCTTCCTCTTTATGATGCGCCAAATGTTCTCTATAGATGAAAGATCTGGACTGCAGGCTGGCCATTTCAGTACCCGGATCCTTCTCCTACGTAGACATGATGTTGCGATTGCTGCAGAATGTGGTCTGGCATTATCGTATTGAAAAATGCAGGGTCTTCCCTGAAAGAGATGACGTCTAGATGGGAGCATATGTTGTTCTAGAACCTGAACATAGTTCTCTGCATTAATGGTGCCTTTGCAGACATGCAAGCTGCCCATGCCACAAGCGCTCATGCAACCCCATACCATCAGTGATGCAGGCTTCTGAACGGAGCGTTGATAACAACTTGGGCTATCCTTGTCCTCTCTGGTCCGGATGACATGGCGTCCCAGTGTTCCATAAAGAACTTCAAATCGTGACTCATCTGACCACAGAACAGTCTTCCATTTTGCCACACTCCATTTTAAATGACCCCTGGCCCAGTGCAAACGTCTGAGCTTGTGGAGCTTGCTTAGAAATGGCTTCCTCTTTGCACTGTAGAGTTTCAGCTGGCAACGGCGGATGGCACGGTGGATTGTGTTCACTGACAATGCTTTCTGGAAGTATTCCTAAGCCCATTCTGTTATTTCCTTGACAGTGGCATTCCTGTTTGAGGTGCAGTGACGTTTAAGGGCCCGGAGATCATGAGCATCCAGTAGAGTTTTACGGCCTTGACCCTTATGCACAACGAGTGTTCCAGATTCTCTGAATCTTTTGATGATGTTATGCAAGGTTGATGATGATAACTTAAAAGTCTTTGCTATTTTATGCTGGGTAACACCATTCTGGTATTGTTGCACTATCTTTCTGCGCAACAATGGTGGAATTAGTGATCCTCTTACCAGCTCAGAATCAGAATCAGAATCAGTTTATTATTGCCATGTCAATGAACGAGGTTCACAAACTAGGAATTTGCTTCGACATAAGGTGCGAATAGTAATAAAGTAAAATAAAGTAAAAATAAAGTAAAAATTAAGTAAAAATGAGAACATTACATAAGACATAAGCCTGTGTACACCCACAAATAAAGTAAAATTAAAAACATAACATAACCATATGTACACCCATACAATAGAAAACAATAAAAAAGCTTAGAAAACAGTACAGATGGAGTATTCAATTATAATACAGATGTAATGTGACCAAAGCAGAAATTATGAGGTAGCATTATGAGTGTTCAGGAGTCCAACAGCAGAGGGGAAGAAACTGTTCTTATGGCGGGAGGTTCTGGTCCGAATGGACCGAAGCCTCCTGCCTGAGGGGAGTGGTTCAAACAGTCCGTGTGCAGGGTGAGCAGGGTCAGCTGTGATCCGACCTGCTCGCCTCACAGTCCTGGAGATGTACAGGTCGTGGAGGGATGGAAGGCTGCAGCCGATCACCTTCTCAGCTGAGCGCACAACGCGCTGCAGTCTGATTCTGTCCCTGGCAGTGGCCCCGGCGTACCACACCGTGATGGAGGAGCTGAGGATGGACTCGATGATGGCCGTGTAGAACTGCACCATCAGCTTGGCCGGCAGCTTGGCCTTCTTCAGCTGTCACAGGAAGTACAGTCTCTGCTGGGCCTTCTTGATGAGGGAGCTGATGGTCGGCTCCCACTTGAGGTCCTGGGTGATGGTGGTGCCGAGGAACCGATAAGAATGTGCAGTGGTGATGGGGGTATCATTACAGGTGAGGGGGGGCAGAGGGGCTGTGGCTTTCCTGAAATCCACAATCATCTCCACTGTCTTCTGGGCATTGAGTTCCAGGTTGTTGCTGCTGCACCAGGTCACCAGCCGGTCCACCTCCCTCCTGTATGCAGACTCATCACCGTCCGAGATGAGCCCGATGAGGGTGGTGTCATCTGCAAACTTAATAAGTTTCACAGAGTCATGGCTGGAGGTGCAACAGTTGGTGTACAGGGAGAAAAGCAGGGGGGAAAGCACACAGCCCTGTGAGATCCTGTGCTTATAGTCCGAGTGTCCGAGACAGCTCTCCCCAGCCGCACGCACTGACTCCGGTCTGTCAGGAAGTCTGTGATCCACCTGCAGGTGGAGTCAGGTGCATGGAGCAGGGAGAGCTTGTCTTGGAGCAGAGCAGGGAGGATGGTGTTAAATGCGGAGCTGAAGTCCACGAACAGGATCCTGGCGTAGGTTCCTGGGGAGTCCAGGTGCTGCAGGATGAAGTGAAGAGCCAGGTTTATTGCGTCATCTACAGACCTGTTGGCCCTGTAGGCAAACTGCAGGGGGTCCAGGAGGGGGTTGGTGATGGACTTGAGGTGAGATGAAACCAAGCGTTCAAAGGTTTTCATGACTACAGACGTGAGAGCTACAGGTCTGTAGTCATTTGGTCCTGGCTTCTTGGGGACAGAGACGATGATGGAGGACTTGAAACAGGCTGGGACGTGGCATGACTCCAGAGAAGAGTTGAAGATCCCTGTGAAGACCGGAGCTAACTCTCCAGCACAATGTCTCACAATGGCTTATGAGAGACACTGACACTCTGAGAAGCTCTTTTTATACCCAATCATGTTGTCAATTGACCTAATTAGTGTTAATTGGTCTTCTAGCTGTTTGTTATGTGCTCAATTTCCCTTTGCCAACCACTTATTGCTACTTGTCCCAACTTTTTGGGGATTTGTTGACACTGTGAAATTATGAATCAACATATTTTTCCTTTAAAATGTTACATTTACTCAGATTAAACTTTTGATCCGTCATCTATGTTATATTACAAATAAAATATTGACATTTGCCATCTCCACATCATTGCACTCAGTTTTTATTCACAATTTGTTTAGTGTCCCAACTTTTTTGGAATCCTGTTTGGAAAAGAAAATGACAATCTGTTAGAGTGAAACAGTGTGTCCACACTCAGATTTCATGCTAACAGTTATATCCTGAAAATAACAGATACATTCTTATTTAAATTTAAGAGTCAAAAGTTTTCAGTTTTTATTTTAATTTTATTTTTTTATCCAGCCTGCAAATCCAGACTACATGTTCAGGATGCTGTTTAATACACCTTATTATGTTATGTTATCCATCCATCCATCCATCCATTATCTTTACCCGTTTATTGCATTTTGGGTCACGGGGGTCGCTGGTGCCCATGTCCAGCAATCACTGTGCGAGGTGCGGGGTACACCCTGGACGGGTCGCAAGTCCATCACAGGGCCACATAGAGACAAACGACACAAACAACCATTCACTCTCTCACTCACACCTAGGGACAATTTAGAGTTACCAATCAGCCTAACATGCATGTTTTTGGTCTGTGGGAGGAAACCGGAGTACCCGGAGAAAACCCACGCATGCACAGAGAGAACATTACACCCAGAAAGGCCCCTGGACCGGGGTTTGAACCAAGGACCTGCTCGCTGAGAGGCAGCAGCTCTACCAGTTGCGCCACCGTGCTGCCCATGTTATGTCATATTACATTATATTATATTATATTATATTATATTATATTATATTATATTATATTATATTATCTTAACCGAAAAAGGGTGGATTGCTCTCTCCAGATCGAGGGTGAGGTTCTGCCTCCAGTGGAGTAGTTCAAGTAGCTCGGGGTTTTGTTCACAAGTGGGGGAAGAAAGGAGCGTGAGATTGACAGATGGACTGGTGCAGTATCTGCAATATTGCGGACTTTGTACCGGTCCGTTGTGATGAAGAGAGAGCTGAGCTGTAAGGCAAAACTCTCTGTTTACCGGTCACTCTACGTTCCTACCCTCACCTATGCTCAAGAGCTCTGGGTAGTGACCGAAAGAATGAGATCACGGATACAGGAGGTTGAAATGAGTTTCCTCTGCAGGGTAGCTGAACTCTCCCTTAGAGATAGGGTGAGAAGTTCAGTTATCCAGGAGAGGCTTGGAGTAGAATCGCTGCTCCTCCACTTCAAGAGGAGCCAGTTGAGGTGGTTTGGGCATCTGGTAAGGATACTCCCTGGACGTCTCCCTAGGGAGGTGCTTCAGGCATGTCCGACTGGGAGGAGACCCTGGGGAAGACTCAGGACACGCTGGAGAGACTATGTCTCAGTTGGCCTGGGAACTCCTTGGAGTCCTCCCAGAAGAGCTGGAAGAGGTGGCTGTGGAAAGAGATGTCTGGACCTCCCTGCTCAAGCTGCTGCCCCCACGACCCGACTTCAGAACAAGAGGAAGATAATGGATGGATGGACGGACGGATGGATGGATGGATGAATGGATGGATATATTATATTATTGTGGTTTAGTGTATACCTTAGATCAATGGTGTCAAACTCACTTACAAAAGGGGACAAAATTAAAACATTTTTTCAAATTAAGGGCCTGTTTGTTGATAATAATAATAATAATAATAATAATAATAATAATAATAATAATTAATAACGTAATAATATCGTTATTATTATTTTTGTTGTTGTTATCATTATTATTATTAATATTATTTAAAAACTCAATATCAGCAGCTGTAAAATTCTATGCCATCACATTATTAAAATAATAAAAATAAGAATTTTTAAAAATGTTAAAAGATTGGGGGAGTGGTGGTGCAGAGGTTAGAAGATGGGCCTGTGATCGAAAAGTTGCAGGTTCAACTCCCGGCACCGTCAACATCAAAATGTGGGTGGAAAAGGTAGAACACCCACACCTGCCTCCACCCTCATTCACCCCACTCTGGGCCCCTGAGCAAGGCCCTTAACCCCCACCATCTGCTCCCAAAAAGGTCTCTCTTGAAAATGAGTTCTCATGACTCAATGAGACTACCAGTATAAATAAAGGGTAAATAAAAAATTAAAAAAAGAATTGAAACAAGGAAAAATATAAGAATAAAAAAACAAGAATACAAATAATAATAATAAGAAAACCAGAATAATTACCCATGCAGCCTAACAGCTGTACAGCTGCAGGTCCTTTACAGCTGTTCCTGTTTTTCTTCTGATTGTTTCTGGGATGATTATCAGGGTGTTAACGGGGCGGTTCTATCAGAACCATCTGTGCCGTCAGGTGTTGGATGTGGGCTTGCAGCCACAGAGGGTGGGGGTATGGGGGTAACAGGTTATGTTTCCTGTTCTGCTCGGTGTGAGCATGGTGGAGTTATAAGCAGCGGTCAGGTGTGTGTGCTCCTGCAGGAGCAGAGCTGCCCTCCTCCTGCCTGTCTGAAACTCAGAGTTTGGCTTGAGAGGTTAATTAAGACGTCGTTCAGTGAGCTGATCTCGACACTCTCAGAACTACTCCTCTCTACTTGCACCTAGTTTCAGTCCAAGACCTGAAGGTTGTCATGAAGCTGACCCAGTGAGTCTGTCAGGAGATCAGGTCTTTTTGTTCTGGAAAGCAGCAATCAGATAATTTTCTGCCTTCATATTGATTTATCTTCAAGCAGATGACTCACACTTTCAGTCCACGAATGACAAACTGTCACAGTAAGGTGGACGCTCACCTGCTCAGAGCAGGACTCAACACCCCCCCCCCCCCCCAAAAAAAAACAAAAAAAAAACAGTCCCCTTCTGATGGCTTCCATCATGACTGTTCTGCTCAGATCAGAGGCTTTGCTGCCTCCAGAGATAAACTCACAGCGGTCTGGTAATAAATTTCCACACAAATATAAAAACCAAGCTGCTGTTGTTCTCTGCATTTCTCATAAACGTGTCAGAATCGATAGTGGGCCTGTCCTCCCACAGCCCGAACCTGTCAATATTGTTCCAACAGACTGGTTATCAGGGCCAACAGGGGACCAGAAAACTACTTTACAGGCACATTATTGAGTTAGAGACTGGTGTGGGGCCTCATTGGGACCAGACTTTTTTGATAGTCCCTTGGTCTACATCTGGTACTGTTTGGACATCAATTAAAGGCTAATCTGATTCATGCAGCTGGGATAATCAAACAGATATGACTTTAAATAATGCTGTTGTCCAGCCCAGATGGAGCAGAGCCTCCATTCAGACCCACACCCTGTTAACGATGGGATGTTTACTGCACATTAGACTCATTAGACCATCACATACTTTAATGACTGAGCTGAGGGGCTTCATGCACCTCGGACTGAGCATGCTCAGAAAAAGGAGCAGCTGCCAATCACTCAGTCATGGTTCTGTTTGAGAAAACATTTGTATCAGATCAGATCTGGAACTGATCATTCTGGAACTGTAACACCCCCCCCCCCCCACACACACACACACACACACACACACACACGTACACACAAAAATACACGCACACCTCAGCTGGCTCTGTCAAACACAATGTATTCACACCATGTAACCCCAGCCCGTCTCTCTGGTTCTGATTAGTGGTCATTTCACTCCCAGGCACATCTATTTGGACTTGATGAAGGCGGGTTGTGGAAAATGGCGTTAGAACAGAACCTACTTGGGTGAGTTCTGAGCCCATGAAGATGAGGAGGATCAGCGTGTGGAGCTTCCTCGCAGGCTGCATCTCTTCCCTCCGGTGTGAGGAGCAGCGGTCTCACATGCAGATCCGGTTGCGTCCAATTCCCCCCACCCCCCTCACAGGCTCGGCAATCCCGTTTTTTCTCTCTCGGTTCCCTCTCTGCGCTGCGACGCGCTCGGCTCGGTTCGGTTGTGCTGGTAGTTTCTGGTCCGTCAGCAGCCCCGGGGAGCAGAAAACGGCAGGTCTGGCTTCACGGATTCATTTCATCTGTGGAGCCTTTTCCCGTCCGGACCCGCTCAGATCAATCCAAACATCGGGGAGGACTGGTTCTGATAACCCGCGTCTTGGATCCTGCTGAAAGTTTGCCTCCGCCTCAGCTGCTGTGCCTGGTCTCAGAGGAGAAACCGGAGAAAGACGGCGCTGTCCGCGGTGCTGAAGCGGAAGTTACATCTGAGAGAGAGAGAGAGAGCGTGATTCAAACGACACGCGCTCACTCACACAGCCTATCTTTTAGAAATATTTACAGGATAAAAGCTGAGACAAAACCCCTTATTGCTCCAACATTTCTTATTTATATTTACATTATATCCGGAAAACAAGAAAGAAGCTCTCACAGAGATTACAGTATTCTTTTTTTAATCACAAAAAGTAAACAGTTGGCAGATTGTATTCAGTATGTTGTCCCACGATCTATAACAATTTGTGTCTGAATTATTTCTATTGTTCTGCCTAGATCAATATGTTCTAACTTTTAAACCTCAACATTTATAACTAATTAACTAATTTCAGGGTGGCTGTGGCTGAGTGGTTAGAGCAGTTGTCCTCCAATGCAAGAGTTGGGGGTTCAAACCCAACAGCAGTCACATGCCGAAGTGTCCCTGGGCAAGACACTGAACGCCTCATAGCCTCTGATGTGTGTCCCATCAGTGTATGAATGTGATCTAAAAGCACTGATTAGTCTCATTAGAATGATGTGTTCAATTAGCTTTGTAGGGATGTAGAGTGCTGTATGAATGGGTAAATGAGGACACAGATTGTAGTGTAAAGCGCATTGAGTATCTCAGTAAGATAGAAAGACACTATATAAGTACAGTCCATTTACCATTTACCATTTACTAATTATTCATCCCTGAAAAGGCAACTTGATTTCAATCATCCATTTTAACAGTGTGATTATTTTATTGTAAGCTTCCTCCTTCTAATGTAGCAACAGATGCACAGGAAGACAGATTTACATTCAGGAAAAAATATAACTAAACACATCTTTATTCTTACAGTTAAAGGCATAGCATTCATTAAAGGAACACCTTTAATGCCAAAGTTTAAAACTAATTTTATCTCATAATGAGAAATGTTGAAATTATACATGTTTTTGTCACACAATAAAAATAGTGTCATGCATGATCGTATGATGCTGTAACAAGTTATGGGTTGTGGAAGACACCCAACTAAAACCACATCAAATTTTAACTTTTTTTTTTTAAGTCTAATTCATTGGCTGTGGCCTTTTTTGCATTCAACAGAGGCCAATTGGTTGTGTCAGCCATCTTGAATCAGGTTGACTATAAAAGTTGTTCACTTGTATATATAAATGTGTGTCAATTCACTACAATGGATTATAATAGATCACTGCACTACCCATATGACAAAAAACTGTCAGTTTATATTATTATATAAATGCTTCATAAGTGTAAAATGTGGTCTTTGCCTAAGCATATACAACTAAATACTGGGAACAAATTAACCAATGTAAACTTTATTAAGTCTAATCATAATTAGTCCATATAAAAGCTTTACTAACTTTGAAACCAAAAGTACTTATCTAACTAACCCAGTCTTAAATAGCAAAGGGGTTTAATGTGAGGCCTGTTCAACCTCAGCTCAGTTAAGCTGAAGTCCACTAAAGATGACAAGTACTAAATTTTTTTCAAACCTTTCCCATATCTCATTAACTCAAACTGTACACTAAAGCTCAACACGTTGGCTACATTTCATTTATTCATGTGTCACATACACCATGATGTATCATTCATACTGATTATTTAAATGAAGCTAACTACTGACATGTATAAGATGTTATATGTACAAAAATGAATCAATTTTAATAATGTCCTGTGACAAAACTGAAAGTTTTATGTTTTTTTTCCCATGACACAGAATGAAAAAGGGGAAATGAAAATGTGCATTTTGTGAACACAATAACATGAAAAATAAGTGAAGTACCAACTTCCATTTTGATGAGTGGCTCTATCTAGGTGTAAGAAATGTTTGTTTCAACAACGGGTTGACACGTCATAATCCAAGATGGCCACAGTTGCCATATCTATCTATCTATCTATCTATCTATCTATCTATCTATCTATCTAT